GCATTGATGTTACACTGCACTTGGTCACCCCGCGCTGGATGTCCTGGGAGGTAGTGCCGGGAAGCCCATCCGCAGCTTGTTACCCAGAACATCCCTGGGGACGGAATGGTATAGAGGGATTGACAGTGCTCACTTGGCCACCAGGACAGAAAGACTTGTCAACACAACACCATGACGCAGCAGCACAATGGTCTCTTTTAGGGGGTATAACCAGTCCCTTAAGACCCACTGTAGGGAGGAACCTGAAGGGAGCCAGGTATGAAAGCTCAACAGCACCCCTCAAGGCACTGATGTGACAAGAACATTAAGCAGAGGAGACTGGCCAATTCTCCATTGCTTGTAGGCTTTTAGCCAATCCCACCCACTGCACTCCAACAAAGCTGTGCAGCTGGCCAGGTTGCGGTGGTCTCAAGGCCTGTAATCCAGCACTGTTGGGAGATGCCGGAGATGGAGCGATCACGAGGTCAGGGATCGGACCATCCTGGCTAACACGGTGACCCCATTCTCTACTAAAAAAAATATACGAAAAACTAGCCGGGGCGAGGTGGTGGGTGCCTGTAGTCCCAGCTACTCGGGAGGCTGAGGCGGCGAGAATGGCGCAAACCCAGGAGGTGAGCTTGCAGTGAGCTGAGATTGCTCCACATGCACTCTAGCCTGGGCGACAGAGCGAGACTCCGTCTCAAAAAAAAAAAAAAAAAAAAAAAAGCTGCGCGGCTTAGTGAGTGCAGCACCATGTAGGAGTTGAGAACAGGTTTTGAGTCACTCAGTTCTGGATTCTACCTCTTACTCCTAAGTGGTGGATCTTTGACGAGGATGCAATCTCCCTAAAGCCCAGTTTCTTCATCTATAAAACAGAGCTAATAGTACCTACCTCATAGGGTTGTTATTAGGACCTCAAAAGAGCAGGAGGTTAGCATGGTGCTGACAATGGTACCTAGTGGTGGTATTATTCATCTGAACTGCCTGTTCTCTCTCCTCCGTCTAAGGGCCCATAGCTCCTTCAGTCTAGTCCAGGGAACAGAAATTTGGCCTATGAGATACATGGCTGATCAACAGCTTCCTGGAGCCAAGGATACTATCTTAGGGATAGGAGCTTATGTCCTGTATAGAACTTAACTAGAATCATGAGGACAAAGGGCAGAAACAAATGGGCCTCGGGAATCAACAGGAAGGGCCTTTCTGCCTAGAAAGGAGAAAGGGAGTCAACTGTACCTGAAGTCAGACTCCAGCTCTGTGGTGGCGAGGTTGATCATGGCACAGAGACAGTCAATGCTGGAGCTGGACAGAGCCCGTCCAATGCACTTCTTAACAATGTAGAAGACATCATCCACCATGCTGGATGTCAACTGGCCCTTCTCATAGGTGTCCAGAGCCACAGCCTACCCAAAAGGCAAAGTCAACACTGAGGGTCCCAGTTGTGCATGTCATCTTCTAGATGATTCTGGATGGCCCTAGTTCTGCTCCCTTTTCTGTACCTTGTCCATGTTTCTCCCAACATGGCGTGTTCTGGTCACGAACTCATGTGCATCCTCCTTGTCAAAATAGCTCACTTCCCTATTGATCACTAGGTGAACAAATTAAATATTTTGGGCCTTAGCCCTGCAGAGATCCATTACCTGGGGGGTGTAAGACATCTGCAGAGGCCCTACTTCCCTGAGGCTCCTTACCCACAAACCTTCAGGGGGGCAGGGAACAAGTGGGTTCCCTGGAGAGCTGAGCTGTTCTTTTGTAATTCTTGGGAAGGAGGTCCTAGCTGGGTATACAAAGAGCACGACTCCAAAGATGCTCTCTAACCATACAAAGTGGTTCCACTCAATCTGCATGCAAGAGTATTCTCGAAGCGGGACCAAAAAATATGACATGCCTCATGTATTTCCTTTAGCCTGGCTTCTTGGACCGGAAACCCCATTTCTAAGAGATGAGTCCTATGTCCTACCTTATTGACAGTCTCCCTCATGAAGTACTCCTCCATGGTAACATATAAGCCAATTAGCTCCTGCATGGTACAGCTCAAAAGGCAGTTATTGAGGAGTTTGTCCAGACACTTCTGGTGCTCTAGGGGACAGACAAGAAAGGAATACTCATTTTTTTTCCCCAAGGGAAACAGAGCAACTTTTTTCATTTTTTCAGGTTTCTTTCTAGTCTTTCTTCCAAATATGTACATATTTTACATGGTTATAATCACGATACAGATAGCAATTTTGAATTCTGCTTTAAAAAAGTATATCATAGGCCGGGCGCGGTGGCTCAAGCCTGTAATCCCAGCACTTTGGGAGGCCGAGACGGGCGGATCACGAGGTCAGGAACCCTGTGTCCAGAAAGATGCACGTGAACATTTTTGCATCCAACCCCACCTGTGGACTACAGATGATAGCTCTGCTACTAGATGTTTCTTTCAGGCTCTGAGCCTCAGGAGTCAAGACTCAGAGTGTGGCCAATGTAGGGGATGGAGCAGAATGGACCTGGACTGTGCTACTCCCGTGCGTGCTAAGACAGCATGTGCCAGAGAGGCCTGATCCTGAGCTTAGTACTCATTTGTATTCTCTCTGGCTCATCATAAACTGCTTGTTGCTTTGTACAAATCTTTTCATCCTTCTGTGCTTCTCCTTTCCACACAACAGCAAGGCTTGCTGCTTTATCACATCTGTCGTTCCAGGTAGCTAAGGGCTTTAATAAGGCCTCCTTTCCAGAGGAATTGAAAGCCTAAGACATGTGCTAGTAGAGCAGTGCTGGCAGGCCTGAAGGACTGGCGCCTGCCCATGCTGCGGGCCTCTCCTCAGAGAAGCAGTCTGGTGGCCTGGCACAGATGGTGCAGTTGGTTCTGTGGCAGATGCAAGCCAAGCTTGACAGTCAGTGGGCTCCTCAGCAGCTGGGCAGCACTCTGGGGAATGAATGCTAGGTGATAGCTGGGCAGGCCAGCCTCTGTTGTGGCTCAGGCTGTTCAGAATACATCCCTGAGTAAGAAATCGTTTCAGAACCTTCTAGGAGGAACTTCTCTTAAAGGAGGAATTTTCCTTCTATATAGACACTGGAGGAAAGGTCTCTAGCTAGAGGCCAACTATACTGTGGCTTAGCAGTCATAGTGTAACCTCTCAAGATAAACCAACCCAGCTCGTGAGCTGTGGGGTACCTACCAGGAAGGACAGCTTCGCCTCGTCAGTACTCTCGATGCCTTTTGTGTCAAATTTGCCTTGCTGGAGGCTGCTGTGCATGATGTTCACGGCACTTGTCACCCCGCGCTGGATGTCCTGGAGGGTAGTGGCCGGGAAGCCCATCCGCAGCTTGTTACACAGAACATCCCTGGGGGACAGGATGGTATAGAGGGATTGACAGTGCTCAACTTGGCCACCAGGACAGAAAGACCTGTGTCCACCACCCTGACGCAGCAGCACAAGGTGCTCTTTTAGGGGGTATAACCAGTCCTTAAGACCACTGTAGGAGACCTGAGGAGCCAGGGTATGAAAGTAACCAGCACCCCTCAAGGACACTGATGTGACAAGAACATACAGAGGAGACTGGCCAATCTCCATTGCTTGTGAGGCTTTTAGCCATCACCACTGCACTCCAACAAAGCTGTGCAGCTGGCCAGGTGCGGTGGCTCAAGCCTGTAATCCCAGCACTTTGGGAGGCCGAGATGGGCGGATCACGAGGTCAGGAGATCGGGACCATCCTGGCTACACGGTAAACCCCATCTCTACTAAAAAAAAATACCGAAAAACTAGCCGGGGCGAGGTGGTGGTGCCTGTAAGTTCCCCACACTCGGGAGGCTGAGGCGGGAGAATGGCGCAAATCCCAGGAGGGTGAGCCCTCAGTGAGCTGAGGATGCTCCAAATGCACTCTAGCCTGGGCCGACAATGCGAAACTTGCCGTCTCAAAAAAAAAAAAAAAAAAAAAGGCTGCCGCTTAGTGAGTGCAGCACCATGTAGGAGTTGAGAACAGGTTTTTGAGTCACTCAGTTCTGGATTCTACCTCTTACTCTAATGGTGGGATCTCTGACAGGATCAATCTCCCCTAAAGCCCAGTTTTCTCATCTATAAAACAGAGCTAATAGTACCTACCCCTCATAAGGGTTGTTTATATAGGACCCCAAAAAGCAAGGAAAGTAGCATGGTGCTTACAATGGTACCTAGTGGTGGGTGTATTATTTCATCTTGGAACTTGCCTGTTT